ACTGGACTGATATATGCTCAGAAGCCCATAGAATCACAAACTCAAATGTATGGAGAGAATTTAAGTGGAAAATCATTACAAGATATTTCCGCACCCCACAAATTGTAGCAAAGATAAGAATAGGATCATCTTACAGATGCTGGAGAGAATGTGGTGATCATTTAGGGCAGGGGTTTTCAAACTTTTTCAGCTGAGGGCCCCTTTGTGTAGGGCGAATTCTTTCGGGGACCCCCAAAAATAAAAATGACGCCACCCCCTCAAATTAACAACTGTACTTTATTTTTTTTAAATTGTATTATTCAATACATTTATATTATTATATATTATTCAATAAATTTATATGATTCATTATCTGGATTAATTTTTGTAAGATGTTAGTTGAGTTGACATGGTTTTAGTGCTTCAATCTATTGATCAAATCTTGATGCGCAGTACTCATTGTGGTCTGCTCTCACTGGATTATTCCATCAAGCCATATTTTGTGTACAAGTCGTCACTTTACACAGTGTTTATGCCATTTTTATGCTTTTTTTTCAGCCTATGCACAGCTAGACTCTTCTGTATTTACCCTTACAGCTGAGAGTCTAAATGTATCTAAAATTTAAAGCTTTAAAGTTTTAAAGAAATCATCAGCCTGTTAACAGTTACCTTTACTGTTGTAACTAGCAATACTACAATTTAGGCTGTAGTGGTTCAGTGTGTTTTGTTTATTTTTATTCCTTTTTTTTTTTGTGCACATCATAATTTACTCAGGTCGACAATCCTGACTTACACTGATAAAAAAAATAATTTCCTAAATGCAATCTAGAATTGGGTATTCAAGTTCAAAGAGCCACAAGTTTTACTTTGCTTAATTTTAGAAGCTTTGCTGACTTTAAAATGTTCATACCAGTTTGTTCTATTAATAATAATACTGAACATTACATTTAAATTAGTTACACAAACAAATATGGGAAAAAGTGGAACAAAAATGCATTTATATTCAGAGTATTAAAATTTGATCAGGTATGTTGAGCTCCATTAAATACAGAGCACTAATACATTTTAATATTTAATAATTATTAGCCCTATAACATAACACAAACAGATACATTATAATTTTTAAAGGCTATAGTGGTTTTACTCAGTGTGTATACAATTTAGTTTTTTTAATCATCCAGTTATGAACCAATGTGTAAGAGGTCCACTGCAGAGCTCATCCAGTTGTCATTAGTGTAACAGGAGTGAAACTGAGCACTCGCTGATGTGATGACAGCTCCATTCATTGTTATTGCAGCACTTTTTGCTTTACAATTTTAATATGTTTGTTTGCCATGCTGCAAAGTCTGATATTTGTACAATGCAAAGTGTAAAAGCCTGTCGCGCTGTGGACGAGGTGCAATGTTGTGCCGTGTCTTTAAAATGCTATTTGTTTCCTATGAGTGAAGCCTGCGCAGAGAGGCGCGCGCTCCGCAGCACCCAGCTGATCGGTTACTTAGGAACGCAAGCCATAAACAGGGAAGTGCTTTCAGCCTCCGATAATGTTCTTATTGATCATGAATTTTAACTGAAATATAGTTAGTCAAACCTGAGCATTCATTTAGTTGTTTAGCGTAAAAGAGGTAAGCGTAAGTGAAAGGTAAACGCCGTCAGGTGCAGCAGACAAGCGCCAAAAATCACAGTCAGGAAGCGCCTGGCCAGAAGCACTTATTCAATAAAAGTCCCCGTCCACGGAGGCGGGCCGCTGGGCTTCTTTTCCTGTGTCACGAAAGTGTCAACTGCATTTAAATGACATAAGTATAAAGCTTCATTTTTGCAGTACTTTTGAGCTCAAATTATAATAAAAATATATTAACCTTCAAAATGATGCAGGACACAAAGTTCATCCATTGATCTAAAATTTCTTTGCGGCCCCCCTAGCGCCGTGGCCCCAGTTTGAAAACCCCTGATTTAGGGAACAACTCTCATATCTTTTGGTATTGCCCAAAACTGCAGCAATTTTGGAATGATATCTATAAGGTACTTAGAGACATATTCTGTATTGATATTCCCTTTGATCCAACTGTGGCAGTCCTGGGTATGGTGCCGGAGAGCATGGTGGAACGAAGAAGTATTTATTTCAAATACTGCTTCCTGCAGCAATAAAATGTATCATGTCTAACTGGCTCAGATCAGACCCACCTATGTATGAAAAATGGATAAAAACAATTAGAGAAATTTATGAAATGGAAAGAATAACTTATTGCCTTAGACTCCAGATGAATATATTTAAAGCAAGATGGATCCAAATTCTAACAATTATACATCAGTTACTTTAAACATACAACATAGATTTAATAAACAACCACATTACATACACGATAAGTATGAGATTTCTCCCAATTGCCCCCACACCCCCCTCCTTTTTATTTATTTATTATTTTTAATATATATTTTATATATAACTTCAACACTAAAAAGGAGGGGGGAATTATGCCACTGGCTCACAGTTGGTGCAGGGCAGAGTACCTGTAAAGGTGGGCCAGTTGCGATGGTCCCATCGTATCTTGCATATAATTATTTATCTGTATCCTTACTGACTATTTCTGATGTATCTCTGATTTTGTGTTGTGTTCTAATAAAAAGAAAAACAGTTTAAAAAAAAAAAAGGAGTCCATATTATGGGTTTTTGAAAATGCTCTTCCATGTAGTGTGTAACAGCTCTAAGTGAAGTGATATATCCAGCTAAGGCTGAATCTGTAAGTGTACAGTGTTTAAAACTGTTGATTCATCTATAAAAGAGACAACTCAGTGCTTCAAACGAGTTGTCTTGAGTCATTAGGTGTTTCGCAAAGACGAATCTATGCAATGCATGAAGTCGTGGACGTGTACCCCATATCTAGAGCAAGACCAGCATTTGTGGTTTAAAAGTGCGCATTGCAATGCTTATTGACGATAACCCGTCTTTTTTGCCCTTTATTTCACCTCGCATTTAATTCTGGTCTTACTCTAGTGATCGGTTACAGGAGGCCAGTGCCGCCCCTCGGCTCTTTGACACACCTCCAAGTGTTTCAACTAGGTCCGGTACTTGACCTAAAAGAGGTCTGCTTGTGTTGTTTCTCCCTCTTTATATCATAACGCCGTGTCCAAGGCCAGCTCAGCACATATATTTTTTTTAAAAGATGGCAATTAATTATGGAAGTTTTCACTCATAAGTAGAACCGTCTGAAGCTAACGTTAGTGCGTGTGGTCTCACTGGGAGAGAGGTACTTGTACAATTGTTAAATACAGTTTTTATGGACATACTGGTCTCTTCATTACCTAGCTGGCACGTTTTAGAGCCCTTTCCCTTCGACGGACTGATATGTCACTTTTGACAGAGAAAGTTGGGAGGTCCGTTGAGCTCGCATTTTAGCCTGAAAACAGACAGAGCAGCTTCAGGTCTCAGTTTGTTGGTGCGATGACTGACTAATTTTTCTGACTCAAAGATCTCAATGTAATCTTCCTCCAAAAAATGATCCCTGCATACTCGAGCTTCTGATCCTATTAGAGGGTTTTTCCTTTTTTCGCCCTTGCAATAAAATCTATGATAAACACCCTATTTTCTTCTAAATGGTTATGTTTAAACATGTTTGTTATATATTTTTCAATAAAGTGGAAATTGGTCTACACAATAACATAAACTTGACAGAGTGCTTCATTTCCCTTTTAGTACAGGGAACAAATGCTGTAATTGTCCTTTTAACTACATGGAACACACTTCAACACACTAGTGTATACTTGACTCAGAACAGAGAAAACTACAGCAGCAATTTTATTTGATTGAAGATCAAATTACTACATTTTTCTATAAAGCATCAGCTATACATTCACTGAATTGCAACAGTTAGTCCTCCCCCTCTGCAAACAGCAGTAAAGATGCTAGCCTGTTTTCATCTGCATTGAACCCTGACGGTAGGCCTATACCATGCAAAGTTATTTGTTGATAGTGATGTTGAGACATTGATGGCTGTAGTGAGATCGACGAGTAAACATTCATAAGGTAAGTAGTGTATGGACATATATTTTTATATTGAATTGCAGATTTAAAATACATACAGTATACAATAAGAGTTCATAATTTCACAGGTTGTAAACCTTTTATTCAATAAACACCCCATATAAAACCCAAGCACTGAATAAGAGTACTAATGTACTTACGCAGGTGCATGTACATTTACAGGTTGCATTAGGTTGTCACCACCCTTACATAATTCTATATATTTACAATATTTAAAGAAAAGTACATCGTAAACTCAATGTACTCGCATGGTTCTTTGCGTGTTGAATATCTTATTGTTACCCCCTTATTACCCAAACATAATGGTTTGTTCCTTTGCAATTTAACAAGAAATACACCGTAAATTCAATTTACTTACACTGTACTTTTCATGTTGAATATCTGGTTGTTACTCCCTTACTGCCCAAGCATTACAGTTTGTTCCCTTTATATCTACACACACGTTATTTATGCTTAAACTATACATACAGAAAAGTGCACCGTTATTTCAATGTACTTACGTGGTAATTTTCCTGTTGAATATCTGGTTGTTACCCCCTTACTACCCAAGCATTTCAGTTTGTTCTCTATTACCTACACATACATTCATTATACTTATACAATATGTACAGAAAAGTACACCGTTATTTCACTGTACTTACGCGGTACTTTGTGGGTTGTAAAAGAAAGTCTTACCTAAAAGTCTTCTTACACTAAAGCATATATACTCGTTCACATCTGTGTGCATCTTCATGTGTTCATTAAGGTTTGCTGATCGGCTGAAACTCTTCACACTAAGTGCATGTGAATAGTTTCTCTCCAATGTGTCTTCATGTGTTTATTAAGGTCTGATGAGTTGCTGAAAGTCATCCCACACCAAAGCTGCGGACACTAGAGTTTGAGCATGCGAAATTCTGTATGGTGTTGCAAAAAGGGGCGGGATTAAACAAGATGATTAGACATTAAAAAGTTGAGGGATTGGTCCATATTTTAAATTTCTGTCTAGAGAGGTCATGTTTTGATCTTTTCTCACACAGTCAAGTGATGCGATTTCGCAGGTCAGAGTTCACCAAGCTTGAACTTTGCAAAGCAGTGAACTGCGAAACTTTACACACGAACTTGCGTTTCCTGTCTTGACGCATTTGCGTGCGTATGAATAGAAGTCTATGGGGAAAAGTCCAGTGTGACCAAGGCTTAAGTGCAGGTAAATGGTTTCTATCCAGTGTGGATCCTCATGTGTATATAAAGGGATGATGATTGGCTGAAACTCTTCCCACACTGAGTGCATGTGAATGGTTTCTCTCCAGTGTGGATCCTCATGTGTTGATAAAGGTTTGATGAGCAGTTAAAACTCTTCCCACACTGAGTGCATGTGAATGGTTTCTCTCCAGTGTGGATCCTCATGTGTTGATAAAAGTTCGATGAGCAGTTAAAACTCTTACCACACTGGGTGCATGTGAATGGTTTCTCTCCAGTGTGGATCCTCATGTGTAGATTAAGGTGTGATGATTGGCTGAAACTCTTCCCACATTGAGTGCATGTGAATGGTTTCTCTCCAGTGTGGATCCTTATGTGTTGATTAAGGTGTGATGAGCAGCTGAAACTCTTCCCACACTGACTGCATGTAAATGGTTTTTCTCCAGTGTGGATCATCATATGAATCTTAAGATAGCCTTTTCTTTTAAAACTCTTTCCACATTGAGTGCAGGTGAAACGATTCTTGTCTTTACTTTTCAAAATACCATCAGTCTGTAAATGAGTTTTATCCTCAATTTTGACATGATGTTCCTCTTCTTTACTCCCCTCATTCTCTTTAATTAGGTCTGAAATAAATAAATAAAACATTACTTTTCATTTAGTTTAAAAAACTCCTATCGAAAGCTAAAAAATTGAAAAGATTGTTTACACACTGTAATTTTGATGCACATTAAATGTAAAATAAATCAGATATTTTGTTTGGACCATTATCGTGTGCACATTTAAGCAGATTCGATTCAATTAATCTTTATTTATCTAGTGCTTTTACAATGTAAATTGTGTCAAAGCCGCTTAACATAGAAGTTATAGTATATGGACTCTATGCACGAACTCTGCTGACGTATTTCCAGTAGAATATCAGTCTTTACGTCCGCATAGCGTGTTCTACAGCGAAATCGAATAGCGGCGAATCCTAACGGATCACAGAATGGCAAAGAAGGAAGATTTACTGTTAAATTGATGAGGATGTAGTGCCAGTGGATGTCCAGCATCTGGAACACCATTATTGTTCTGTTACAGAACCCATGGTAGTTGAATAATACACCAGATCAGGCTGACAATCTCCGTGAAGAGGTGGAGTGTTTTTGGTAATGTTATAAAGTTCTAATGGTACAGTTAAAATATGATGTACTAGAATTTAACCCAGATAAAAGTACTAACAAGTTGTAATTGTGTTTTATATTACATAATATTTTGTTTTTAACTATCGTTTCAAAAGTTTACACTTAGCTGATGATTGATTATAAAGCTTGTTTGGCATAATGTCTTGTGAGAGCCCTGAGCTCACAAGATCCTTGAGCCCAGGGCTTCCTCCAGTTTGCAAAGCGAGAGGGGAGTTTGAGGTCAGGTAGATCTCGAGAACTACTCTGCTGGAGTAGTGATTACTCTTAAGAGATAACAACTTACTAGGAGCACGTCTATGGTGCAGATTTGCATTAGTCAATTAACTTAAGTTGCATGTTTTTGGACAGTGGGAGGAACCCGGGGGAAACCCACGTAAGCACGGGGAGAACGTGTAAACTCGGCACAGAAACGTTCGCTGGCTTGGTAAGGACTAGAACCAGTAATGTTCTTGCTGTGAGGCAACAGTGCTAACCACTTTATCACAACTGAGGTGTCGCGGACGCCATCCTCTCTATTCTGCCGCCCTAGGCGCGGAAATAACTTAGGCAGCAGGGAGTGAGGGAGGTGCTGGGTCGCGGACATAACCGAGGACGCGGGTGTTGAGGGAGATGTCGCGCCTCTCTATTCTGCCACCCTAGGCGGTCGCCTAGGTGCCTCTATGGACGCGCCGGCCTTGCTCCTGTCACTCTACCTTACAGTTAGCAATGTTCATACTAATGGATATTGTTTATTTATTTATTTTTTAATGCCATAAAAGCAGCATTGGCTATATTCATGGCAAAAACATATACTAATAAATATACAATATATCTAACCATAAAGTCGAATCTGTTTCTTAAAAAAAATACATTGTAAAAAAAACAACAAAAACTATACAAGTAGCAGCAACACTAAAAACAGTCACATACAATCTTTTAGTTTGATTAAAGATAAATATTCTAAAAGTGCTCCAAAAGGCACCTTTATTAAACATTTCACTTAAAATATTTCTCGATTAAAAACGTTTGCTAATGTCATAAAAAAATCCACATTCTATTAAAATATGTTTTATCGTCAAAATATTCTTACACAAGTCACAAATAGGTTTTTCATCCCCTCTTAAAAAATATGCGTGTAAGTCTTGAGTGTCTGATTCTACATCTTGTATGTACAATCTGGTCATGTCTATTTTCAAAACGTTAATTATTTCTTTCATTTAAATATGGATGCACTTCATGCAATTTGTTATTCTTACATTCATTTCATTCCATTTGCCATTTCTCGTTAATATACTGTTTTAAAATAGGTTTAATATCAGACACAGGAATTTTACATTCTGTAATCTCCAACTGTATGGCTTTCTTAGCTGCTTTATCTGCACGTTCATTTTCAATGAATCCCATATGTCCAGGTATCCAGCAGAAAATAATATCAAAGTCTTTAATCTTTAAAAGGTCCACTTTTTTTATAATGCTTAAAATCATAGTATGATCAGTTTTCAGAGATTCAAGTGCTTGTAAACAGGATAAAATCTGTGCAAATTATAAACTGTCTTTGCTGTTCTTTTTCTATTTGTTCCAGAGCTAAAAACAGTGCACAACCTTCAGCTTTTAATATCAAGCTTTGACCGGGAATACTCTTTCTGAAACACTCTGAACCAATCCCTGCTGCAGCAGATACTCGTCCATCTGATTTTGAACCCTCTGTAAACACTGGTACATAAGTTGGTAGATTGCATCGGATATTCATAAATTCTTCCTGATAAACATTTGGGTGGATTTCCCTTTTTTAAACTGAGACAGGTGCATTATAATAGATGGCTTTTTTAATATATCAAGGTGGTATAGTGCATACATGCATCGTTGTTATTATATCCAGATTATTATCCAACTTCTCCAAGTGAATTTTCATTCGAATTCCAAAAGGTCTGATGTATCTGGGTCTGGCTTCACATAGGTGCTGATATTGAGGGGGGAAAACTGTAGAATATGCTGGATTGTCTTTATTAGCTTTCAGCTTGACTGCATATTTAAGAGCCAGTTTCAATCTTCTGCTGTACAGTGACATTTCTCCTGCTGCCGTGTGTAAACTTTGAATTGGAGAAGCCCTGTATGCTTCAAGAGCAAGTCTCAGTCCTGTATGATGTATTGTATCAAGCATCTTTATGCATGATATCCTTGTAGATCTTTCCCAGAGATGGGTTGCGGCTGGAAGGGCATCCACAGCGTAAAAACGTGCTGGATAAGTTGGCGGTTCATGCTGCTGTGAAAACCTCGGATTAATAAAGGGACTAAGCCGACAAGAAAATGAATGAATGAATGAATCCTTGCAGTTCAGTAAACTATGCTTCCATAGTCTTAAGAGTATCGCCCAATCTGCAACCCATTTGATCTTTGCTAAAACTTTTATAACATTCATTTCGTAATACTTTAATATGAGGAATAAAAGGAAACTTGTCAAAACTCATTCCTAGGAACTTTACCTCTTTCACAACTTGTACATCTAAAAAAAGCTCTGGATCTAAATGCATAGATCTTAAAAGACAAAAATGCATGCTTGCAATTTTTGATTTAGAAAATTTAAAACTGACCAGTCATACATATTTGAATTTGAGGCAACGCAGTAGGTAGTTCTGTTGCCTCACAGCAAGAAGGTCGCTGGTTTGAACCTCAGCTCAGCTCAGTTGGCGTTTCTGTGTGGAGTTTGTATGTTCTCCCTGCGTTCGTGTGGGTTTCCTCTGGGTGCTCCGATTTCCCCCACAGTCCAAAGACATACGGTACAGGTGAATTGGGTAGGCTAAATTGTCCGTAGTGTATGAGTGTGTGGATGTTACTCAGAGATGGGTTGCGGCTGGAAGGGCATCCGCTGCTAAAAAACGTGCTGGATAAGTTGGCGGTTTATTCCGCTGTGGCGACCTCGGATTAATAAAGGGACTAAGCTGAAAAAAAAATTAATGAATGATAAATTAATATTTAAATTTGTCTCTCGATTATATATTTTTCCCTTTATAACAAATACATACATCATCTACCGTTAAACTATGAAATATATTATTCCCAATAACATTTACAATATTATTAATTTTACTACTAAAAAGTGTTACTGATAGTATACTTCCTTGATTCTTGTATATGCAATTCAGATAAAATACTTTTAATATGCACACCAAAAACTCTATAGAATAAAAAAAATGTACAATAAAATTTCATCTAAAGCCCATCTCATGTAAATTTTTAAAATACCATACCTCCAGGTAGTGTCATAGGCCTTTCAGATCAAAAAAAAAAAATGCTACTATGTGTTCTTTTTTAATTAAACCATCTCGTACAAAAGATTCTAATCGTATAAGATATTCAAGAGTACTTTTCCCTCTTTTAAACCCACACTGATATTTATTAATCTTCTGTTCTTTTTCTAAAATCCACTCACATCTCACGTTAATCATTTGATTCAATGTTTTGCAAAGGCAACTGGTAAGTGCTGTTGGACGATAATTATTTAAATGATCTTTTCTTGGTTTAGGTATTGGTATAATAATAGCTACTTTCTAAAAGGCTGGTATTTCTCCTGATTTCCAGATATTGTTAACCCAACAAGATGCAGAAATGCCATCTAAAAAGGTGACCTGCTGTTTGTCCAGTCAGGGACATTGAAAACATAAATATATAAATAACAATGTTAACCCGGGTTTACGATTGTGAAACGTCTGTTAATGAACACCAGGTATAGCATGAGCAGTGTGGAACGAGATTACAGACAACACAGGATTCTGTTTATCCAGTGTTAGAATGGCCCAGGGTTAACAATTTCAAGAGTCAAAAGCCCTTAGAATAGCATCAGCTCTCAGGATAAACAGAGCACAAAGACAAACAGCGATGTACATAAATTGTCAATCATATCATAGCAGTGACCTGATCACATTTGCTATTGTTTTAGAACTTCCAATTATATTGTCTATTGGGGAAATGATCAGGAATAATAAACAGCAGAAAATGGTAAAACTCAGGGGTGGACTGGCCATAGGGAGCACCGGGACTTTCCGATGGCCTGACGGTCATCTGGCCTGCCACCGTAATTCTGGCCCGCTCAGCCCCCAACTTATCATAAACATTGTGCTTCTCTACTCAAACTTAATTTAGTAATAAAAAATTATCCCTAACAAAGTATGAACGTACAATTATTAAGCACATTATAAATGTGGTTGTAAGTCAGGAATACAGGATATGTAGCTGCAGTTTTAAACTGTTTACTAACGCTTATTAATGTAAAGTTAATGCTAAACAGATAATGAATTCACTGTTTACTAATGCTTAATAAATGGTTCATAG